GCAAAATGGACGAGTGGAACGTAAACATCGTCATATTCTAAATGTGGCTCGCGCTCTACGCTTTCAAGCTAATTTACCTATACAGTTTTGGGGGGAATGTGTATTGACTTCGTGTTACTTAATTAATCGGACTCCTTCCATGTTAAATAGTGGGAAAACACCATTTGAGATGCTATTTGGTCGTGTTCCCTCCTATGATCATATACGGACATTCGGTTGTTTATGCTATGTTTACTCCAAAAGTACTGATAAATTTAATTCAAGGAGTGTGTAGTGTGTTTTTTTAGGGTATTCATATACTCAAAGAGGGTGGAAAGTCATGAATCTGCAAACCCGCCAGCACTTTGTTTCGCGTGACGTCCGTTTCATGGAGGATATATTCCCGTTTTCATCGTCATCATCTGAATTTTCCCAACCTGATCAGGGTGAAGCTGCTTCTTTTGACTTCCGCCGATATATCCATGATGATGACATAAATGATTTTGGTCTTAGGGAGTCACACGTGCCATGCAACTCAAATTCACCTACTTCACCTCCCATTTTGGAAAATAATCAAGAATCCTCCTCATCTCCACATGCGGATACTACACATGTGCATTCTGGGAGAAATAGTGACACAGTGCCCGAATTAAATAATGACACCACAACACGTCACACTTCTCATGACTCGGCAGTGCAAATTAATGACCCCTCTCATGTTTCCACACCGCTTGGACGGGGACACCGGCAGAAGATACCATCTGTACGTTTAAAAGATTACGTTCATACCCATGCAACACAAATGGACCCCCCCGGTTTGTCTACTCCGTCATCGTCTTCAGGTACTCCTTATCCCATATCTTGTTATGTTAATTATAACAATTATTCTGTGCACCATAGAGCCTTTCTTGCAGCCATTTCACAAGAAAAAGAGCCCTCCTCTTATCGTGAGGCTATTCGGGACCCACGTTGGTGTTCTGCCATGCAACGTGAAATTGGGGCTTTAGAAAAAAATGGCACATGGACCATGGTAGATTTGCCGGCACACAAAAAGCCCATTCATTGTAAGTGGGTATATAAGATTAAATACAAAAGTGATGGTAATATCGAGCGCTTTAAAGCTCGTCTTGTCGTGTGCGGAAATCGACAGGTAGAAGGTATCGATTATCATGAGACTTTTGCACCCGTAGCTAAAATGACTACGGTACGTACTCATCTTGCTATAGCTGCTTGTAAAAATTGGGAGCTTCATCACATGGATGTCGATAATGCGTTTTCGCATGGCAAGATAGATGAGGAGGTTTACATGTACCCCCCTCCTGGTTTTTCTACTTCCAAACCCAATCAGGTGTGTCGTCTTCACCGATCACTTTATGGGCTTCGTCAGGCACCCAAATGTTGGTTTGCCCGACTGAGTGCTTCTCTTATTTCCTATGGATTTAGTCGTTCCTATGCAGATTATTCTTTATTTACATTGCATAAAGGAGATGATTTTCTTTGTGTTCTTGTTTATGTTGATGATCTACTAATTGCTGGGACTAGCTCTTCACTTATTAATGACTTTAAGGCATATCTTGGTCGCTGTTTTCCTATCAAAGATCTTGGCCGTTTGAAGTATTTTTTAGGCCTTGAAGTTGCTAGAAGTCCAACTGGCATATCTTTATGTCAACGTAAGTACACTCTTGACCTTCTTGATGAAATGGGATTTTCTGGTACTAAACCCACAAATTTTCCTATGGAGCAAAACCAAAGGTTGGCGATTTCCACTAGTCCTCTATTTTCTCATCCGGAGAGATATCGTCGTGTCATTGGAAAATTAATTTATTTAACTTTGACTCGCCCTGAACTGAGTTATTGTGTCCATATTCTTGCTCAATTCATGCAAAATCCGCGGACGGATCACTGGGATGCAGTGATTCGTGTTCTTCGCTACCTCAAGGGCAGCCCCGGTCAAGGGATTTTACTTCGGGCTGATTCAGATTTGCGTCTCCATGGTTATTGTGATTCTGATTGGGCTGCTTGCCCCATAAGTCGTCGATCTCTTACAGGATATTTTGTCCTTTTGGGAAATTCCCCTATTTCCTGGAAAACAAAGAAACAACCCACTGTATCTCGTTCTTCTGCAGAAGCCGAATATCGATCCATGGCTACAGTGGCTTGTGAACTTATTTGGCTTAAGAGTCTTCTTAGCTCTCTTGGGATTTCACATCACTCTCCTATGATAGTTTTTTGTGATAATCAAGCTGCTCTTCATATCGCTTCTAACCCTGTTTTTCATGAACGCACAAAACATATCGAAGTTGATTGTCATTTTATTCGTGATCTCATACAAGAAGGCACTATTACTACTCATCATATTGGGTCAGCCCATCAACTTGCCGACATTCTTACTAAGCCACTTGGTGCTCAACAGTTTCATTTTCTTCTTTCCAAGTTGGGCGTTTTTAATCCCTCCGCTCCAACTTGAGGGGGGGGTGTTCGGACATATTTCCATGTGTACCATACATATATTGCCGTAGATAGTGTCATACGTTTAAATCAACAATCATTATGTATATTTACTTACCTTTATTATTTTTTATTCTTTAGAATAGTTTCCTTAGTTAGTGGCAGCCACATGGATATATATTATTGTAATCATCAAAGATTTGGCAAGAACGTAATGATTTGGTTCGAGTTTCCATATGTTCTTTTCTAGTCTATTCTTTACGTTTGAACAATCTTCTTCTATTATAATAATCGTTTATCAAGGTAAATAAATCATCATCGATTCATTTATGGAGCAATATAATGGTTAAATTTTCAAGTGTTGACCATCCCCGGCCCATGCGAGTAAATCGTAGGTGGGCATTGACTTTTGTGGATCTCTTAAATCATTTTCACAAAAATTATGGCATGTTGAGGTCGTCACTACGCCAAAAGTCACACACTCAAACGTGACATTTTTTAGTGCGTGAACCACTACATTAATAGAGAAAAGAGTCAAATAAACCTATCTATTATTTCTAAACCATCTCTTAGGTCCTTCTACAAAAAGAAGCATCACATAAATACTTCTACTTATAAAAAATGATCAATTCAATCAATTGACCTGGAAGCTACCTTCTATAGCAGGTTCGAGTTGACCTGGCATATTTTATACGGAGTACTTCTCTTCACTCTCTTTTGTTATTTGATTTCTTTTTATTGGTTCATCTCCCCAACTCTTTACTTGTATTTATTAAATTCTCTTTACCGTCTCATTTTCTTTCTTTCTTTCTTTCTTTCTTTCTTTCTTTCTTTCTTTCTTTCTTTCTTTCTTTCTTTCTTTCTTTCTTTCTTTCTTTCTTTCTTTCTTTCTTTCTTTCTTTCTTTCTTTCTTTCTTTCTTTCTTTCTTTCTTTCTTTCTTTCTTTCTTTCTTTCTTTCTTTCTTTCTTTCTTTCTTTCTTTCTTTCTTTCTTCATTATACGAATATATTAGTCCGATTAAAAGGTTGTCCATGTTTCATTTTTTGAAGTAGAGGTATTTATGTGATACTTTTTTTGTAGAGGGGCTTATTAGATGATGATTTAGAAATACTAGATGAGCTTACTTGACCCTTTTCTCTACATTAATATAAAAGGACATTGTTTAAAATAGGAGAGTAAAATATACACATGGCCTAAAATATGTTTTATTTTTAAAATATTACTTGTTTGGCTATTCAAGGAAATTACCAACTATGATTTGCTACTACTTACTGATTTTTTTGTAAGATTTATTATTTTATTTAAAATTGGAAATATCTAAACCGTGAAGTATTGATTTACAATTCAGGCTATGTTTGGCACATACCACGTACTTGAGCTCAAAAAGGGCTCGAATTCTTTAAATTCAGTTAATTGTTCTAAATGTAGCCCTGTTTGAAAGGAGAGATGGATTGAGCTTCAACTGGAAAAAATAGACTAGAGTGAAACTTGCAAAAGCTAATGTTTCTATTCAGCTAGTTGCGTTCTAGTCCTTTCTACCAATTCTACCCTCCGCAGTATTTCGTCCAACTCCATGAAGCAATCTTTGTTCCTCTCTCTGAATCTACTATACCAAAGCACAGTTACACACAACTACTTGTATTGCTCCTGACTCTCCAAGAGTCTGCAACTGATTGTCTTCATCGATATTGTCGGACAATATTTGCTCCATTGTCAGGTTGAACTCTCACTACTTCTTCTCCTTGTCTGTAACAGAAATCAGTTGATCCAAATCTCCATTGCCGGTTCTGAAGGTGTTCAATTTTACCGTGCATCTTTGCTTCAGTGCAGAGGGCATGTTTGCTTTAATTTCCGGCCATAAACTGATGAACGATAGAATCCATCTTGCCAAAGCCCAGTCCCTTCTCGCCCGCTCTGCATCAATCGTAAATCGGGACGATAAAGAGAAATTCAACACCTCCTTCGCCCCATGCATCTCCGCGTGGCGAAGTAGAACTTCGATCACAAAGGGCAAAGGCATTATCGGCCACGCAAGGAAGAAGATGACCCCTCTGTGTTTTTGATCTGTCGATCTCTGCAAATTAGCTACTCCGAATAGCAAGTGGCAAAGGCATAGAGCTGCATCGGTGATGGGTCGAAGACCAAGCAAGTGGTAGCAGAAGACGAAGCAAATGTCAGTTTCTTGAAATCCTAATATGAGTGGCCACATGCATTTATGGAAGAATTTGTTACCCACATACATATATATACACTACAATCTTAATTTTTATTAAAATATAAAAATATACGCACATAAATATTTTGTTATATTCCATATTAATAAATTAAATAATTTTTATTAAATATTTTATAGTAAATTTTATTAAAATATAAAAATTATTATAATAAATGTCTAGTTATATTTCGTATAAATAAATTATATGTCTTTTAAGGTAATTTCGTATCATCCAGACATTTTTCAGCTCTTTTTGCCGAACGGATTTACTTCATTCAATTAGCAGTTCAGATTCATCACCTCTTAATTCAGCTTCAGACAATAATCTTTGATTCAGTCAATAGCTCCTAATTCAAACATTAGCCTCCACCTACGGCTCATTGTCATATCATAACTCATGGATGAGAATCATTTGCGAAAAAGATGATTAAAATGACAATTGATTTGAAATGGTGTAGTATAGTTGAGGCCGGGCAAAAGTTAATGGCCTAAGGATATTTTTACTTGGGCTATTTTCAATCACTAAACGAAACCAGATTTAAATAGATCAGATCAAATTTCTCTAATTATAAAATACAAACCAAACATTTACCAGATCAGACTGACTAGTTCATACTTAAACAAACCAGACTAACAAATTTCTGTCTAGATAAAAGATCCTAAATAGAAGCTAGAGTAAAACATACTCGGTGCTACTTTTCCCATCTTTAATAGTAGTATTTCTTATTTTTTGGAAGAAAATGAGCTTAAATTGATAACACATCATTCAGATAGTAGGTAATCCGACAAAAAGATTCCTGACAACCGTCATCCCGCGAACCAGACTCAAAGTTAATCACCTCAAAAGAAGCAATATATATAACTCGATGATCCATTAATGGGAACAATTGAGCCAAAGACAATTACCTCAATCCTTCTATCACCCACATCCATATCCACAGTCTTACATAAAGGAAACCCAAAAACAAAACACATCTAAAGAAAATAACAATTGTCAAAGCAGAAAAAAATAAAGCTGATAAAATAAAAATGCCGTCCTAGCTTATCGAACTGCACGAGCACCCATACTCTCTGCACTGGTTCTGACTGCATCATCTGAGGGCGAACTTACCAGACGAATTGAAGCCCGCGCCCTTCCCCATTTTATGTCTCGTCAAGAGCCATATTATCCTCCCCCGGCTTACCTTCTCCCTGGAAATCCAAAATTCTTCTTCGCTTTTGTTCCCCAGGTGCTTCTTCTTTTGTTTCTGCTTCCCCGCCTTTAGTAGCACTCTGTGCTGATTCTGAGATAGATTCTTTTCCCCCTTCTCACATCATGCCATCATATTTATCATCCCCCATAAACATGTGTTCCCTGTCAGAGCTCGAAGAACCCTCCACTAGCCATTTGCCTCCTCATGTTGGGCTAGTCTTCACCCCGCTAACCGCCCTGAGTTGGACCCCAATTTTTTTTCCAAAACTAAATCTTCTTCATAGGTGAAAGAGCGGAATTTATCTAAATGCCCAAATAAGCCACATATAAAACAAAAGTTGGGCAACTTTTCATACTTGAAATCCACCCAATAACTCTTTCCTTCTTTCTTCAAGTTGGTACCTTTTTTCAATGGTTTATCCACACTCATCCACACCCTGATTCTCATATAAGACTCCAACTTCTCACTATTCTTATTATGATCATATTTTATAAAATTTTCAATAAAATTTTCAATAAAATTTTCAATAAAATTTCCAACCCGCCTGGCAGTACAAAGATTTACTAGACTATAAGGAACATTATGTACTTGAATCCAAAAATCAGTCTCATTTAACACAATCTTATGCGGAATATCATCAGGCTTAACTTCTTTCAACATCAACAGATCACGCTTAAGAATAGTGAGGACATGAGTTCTTTAAAAAGTAAACGTATACCTTTTTTCTCCGACTACTTTGATCGAGATTCCTTTCCCCGGTCTCCAGAGTGAGGACATGAGTTCTTTAAACACCAGAAATCTGACCTTCTTGTCTGTCAACAGCACCCCCACCACCGGGGACCCCGGGTTGCTCTCCTCTTCCGGAACGTCCTCTGTATCAAATTCGTCCAGGTCCAGATCTGCTTCCTCTGCCTCTAACGCCATTTTTTGTATTTGTCCACAAAACTCTCCATTCAAATTAAACAGTTTCCTCCTTGTCTTCCTGCCGGACGTGCCGCCGCAGTTCTGAACGAATCCGCCGTCTCGATTCAGCCGCCCAACACCCCAAATTAGTCCCTCGACACAATCGTCGGAAGAAATCCTCAAGCCCGACTCCCTCGCAATCGGAAATCCTCCCAAAGCCAAAGAATCGACTTCGAATTTACTAAGAATACACAGCTGGCCAGCAGATCCCAGCCCCGCCCCTCAATTGTATCGATGGCGGACGAAAAACGCTAAGCGTTACCCGGAGGCAACCCTAGAGAGAGAAACTCCCGGACCTCAAACATTATTTTTCTATATAATCTATATAAGAAACTATATACTTAAAATACGAGATATAATCAAAATAAGTTATTACCTCTAACGTGACCTTTGATTATTTTATTGACAATCATGTGAAAATGGCACCTAGTCTCATAATGTGGTTATAATTAAGTGGCTAGCTTCTTTCCAAAAAAAAATAAGTGGCTAAATACCCACTAAAGTTTGGCTACTATGAGTGCCTCGTTGAAATGGACCTTCCACTAGCTGTGCGGTGCGGCGCGGGCGGCTGCACGGTTATGTTATGGAAACTCACTTTCATGGATGTATTTAAAAAAGAATTATAACAAACCATACTAAAAGTATAACAATAAAACTTTGTAGAAAGCCATAACAAAAAACATGAATATTTTATAATTAGATAACTTGCAAGTTATAATAACCAAAATAGCAATACAAATATATTAATTAAATTCAAAGCAAATAAATAAATATAACTCTCTAGTTTTCTAAAGCTGAGTCATTCAACTTAATATTTGAAGTCGAAACTTAACTTCTTGGTTCGACGCTCCCCTTTACCGTTGTTTCTTCCATACTTTTGTTCCAAATTAAAAGTCTCAACGAGTCAACGGTAAACAAAGAAACTACTAAAAAAAAAAGCTACTCAAAACATGCTTAGGAACATTAATTAGTTTGCCCAAATTTCTTGATTCTTACCAGTTTTATGGGTTAAGGCTACGCCGGTCAATGGGTCGGGTCTAGACCCGGACCCGATCCGAATCCGCCACTTCATTTGAGGGTAAATTTAGAACCGTTTTCCGGATCCGGATCCGAACCCGTTACATGATAAAGAAAGTGGGTCGGATATGGATTTTTAAGTTCTGGCCCGTTTTGGACCCGGCCCGTGATGATTTAATTATAGTTATAATTTTGTAATTATAGTTATAATTTTGTACATACACACAATATACATAGAAATATTTAAACAAAAAATAAGGAAAATAATCAAATATAAAAAATGTTTTAATATATGTAGGCTTATTTGGTGGTTGGCCCACTATAATGGAATTTTCGCTAATGAGTTTGTGCTCTATGTTCTCTATGAGTGTTGAAAATATGATGAAATAAATTATTTTGAGTGGTCCTATTTTGAGTCCTAAGATATATGTGTAATATAAATATATGTAATGAGAGTGGCTTATTATCAAAGTATAACTTTTATACTTGGATTTATTTCATTTGGTGAATAGAATCCATAGTTGTAAAAGTTGTAAAGTGAAATATTAAAATGGTGAATTATTGTCCTATATCTTAAATATAAAGGATACCATGTGATAAGGAATATCATTCAAGTATCATATAAGGTGACTTAAAATATTATTCCATACTTTCAGGCCCGTTTGGGATGATCTAGAATTGTATGGGAAAATGTTTCAAGTTGAAAGAATATTTAATTTATGGACAATAATCCTGAGATGTTTTATTATCTTATTAAGATAATAAACAATAGCTTTAAAGCTGGTCTTGGACGTTTTCAAAATAAATTTGAATTGTCCAGTTTTGTCATCTTAATAACATGATAATCACTAGCTTTAAAGTTGTTTTCGGACGTTTTAAAAATTGAATTTGAATGGTCCGAGATAAGTAATAAGCCTGGTCAACATTCGTTTAAGGATCATTAATAATTAGATCATGGAACAACTGTTACATCTCATTCATATGCTTGTATTAATTCTGATTTTCAACGTGTATGAGAACCCACTGCATGCTCCTTTTTTTTTTGAATCCTTTCGTGCAATCAGGGTGATAGCTAGAGAAAAGAATACTCCTCTCATCTCCGTACAAACAAAACAAAAGAAAACCTATACATATATTCATTTGTTGGTTTGCTGGGTTGATCCAAAAAGGATTATATTTCGCTTCTTTCCAAGAGCAATAAGATCCATAGTTCTTTTGTGTGAGGGTTTCTTTTCAACAAAAAGGCAACCAGGCAACAGTCGAAGGTTTCAGTCGAGGTAGCTATAAGTCTGAAACGTGGTAGGATTATCCTGGGAGCGAGCTAGCCAGACCCGTCCGAATAGCTATCGGGATACGGGGGCTATCTTTCTTCAAGGCCAGTCCGTCTTAACGGACGATCCTGCGATAAGTTTTCTTATCCTTTCCATTTATTCATTTTGTTAATATTCTAATTATTATTATTTTTATTTGTTCTTGCATTTGTTGGTTTGTCTGGTGATTTGTATAAACTCGGGATTTTTATCTGGTTAAACTCGCATTTTTTAATATCAATTTTTCTAACAATCTTGAAGAAAGATATTGTTTCTCGAGTTTTGGAAAATCCAAAAATGGCAAACTTGGAAAATGTTGTTTCCGAAAATGTTGTTGAGAATAATGTGAATGAAATCCCTGAAAATAATGTGTCTGTGACTAATTGTGGAGACACACTTGACTATGTTGCTACGGGCTCGCAAAGGGTTGATTTAACTGGAATGCCGGAAAAATTTTCTGGGCATTTTTTCAAGCGTTGGCAACAACGTATGAAAATTTGGTTAATCACCAAGGGCTTGCTCTCGGTAATTATGACGGTGTGTCCCCCCGTTGTTGAATCAGATCCCAAAAGTCTTGAACGCCAAGCTTTATGGCGTGAGAGGGATGAAATTGCAAAAGGCATGATTTTGTTGGGTCTCTCCAACATGTTATTTGATGTCTATTGCACCCTCCACGGCACGGCTAAGGACCTTTGGGATGAGTTGGATAAGAAATATAATACTGAGGACCACGGTCTTGAAAAGTATATTGTTTCTAAATTCCTACGATTTGACATGAAAGAAGGTAAATCGGTGTTAGAACAGACACAAGAATTTGAGCTTATCTTGCATTCTCTTCGTGAAGCGGATATGGAATTGCCTGAAAAATTTAAAGTGATGGCGGTCATAGAAAAATTTCCCAAATCATGGGAAGATTTTGGTATGACTTTAAAACATAAAATGAAAAAGATCACTTGGAAATCTTTGATGCATTCCATTACTGTTGAGGAGGAGCATAAGAAAGCAGGTTATATTGTGCCTGTTGAATTTCAACCGAAGGCTCATGTCATAACTGGGGGAAAGCAAGCACATAATTCTAAAAATAAACAATCACCATCTTTTAAACCCATAAAGGCCAAACTAAAAATTGCAAAGAAACCAAAGGCAAACCGACCATGCTGGAACTGTGGACAGATGGGGCATTGGGCCAAATTGTGTCCTAATAAAAAGGCCAAGGCTCAATCTGGGGGACCTCAAGTCAACATGGTGACTGGAGGAACTAGTTCTAATGGGTACGTTTCTATTAATCCTCAAATTTTCACTATTTATAATTCCAATGAGTGGCTAATAGATACGGGAGCGAATGTGCATGTATGTGCTGATAAATCGCTCTTTGTTTCTTATCAGCCTGCGGTTGGAAGAACAGTGATGATGGGGAACACAAGTGCTGCAAGTGTGCAAGGAATTGGAAAAGTAGAAATTAAATTTCCTTCGGGGAAAATTCTATCTTTGCATGGGGTGCATCACGTTCCCGAAATTAGAAGGAACATCGTTAGTGGTTCCATTCTAGTTAGGGAGGGTTATGAGTTGTCTTTTAAATTAAATAAAGTTGTAATTTTATTTGGCGGAACTTTTATTGGCAAGGGTTACTTGTCTGATGGACTTTTTAAAGTTATGGTTGATTATTTAGAATTAAATTATGTATCTGAGAATTGTGATTCTTCAACTTTATGGCATTATCGTTTGGGTCACGTTAATTTAGATTCTGTGAAAAGAATGATGAATTTAAATTTAATTCCTAAGCACTCTATTGATAAAACTAAGAAATGTATGGTATGTGCTACTACTAAACAAGTAAGAAAACCATATCATTCAATTGATAGAAATTCAGAATTACTTGATTTAGTTCATACCGACATTTGTGAGTTTAATGGAGTTCTTACACGTGATAAGAAAAAATACTTTATCACTTTTATTGACGATTATTCTAAATACTGTTATGTGTATCTACTTAAGGGTAAAGATGAAGCTCTTGAAAAATTCTTAATTTTTAAGAATGAAATAGAGAATCAAACTGGCAAGAAAATTAAAAGGTTAAGGTCTGATAGGGGAGGAGAGTATACTTCTAATTTAGTTGTACTGGAATGCCAAAAATATGGTATAGTACATGAGGAAACACCTCCTTATTCACCACAATCAAATGGAGTAGCTGAACGGAAAAATAGAACTTTTAAAGATATGATTAATAGTTTATTAGAGAATTCTGGATTACCTAAATTTATGTGGGGGGAAGCCTTGAATACGGCATGTCATATTTTGAATAGGATTCCCATGAAGCATAAAGATAAGTGTCCATTTGAACTCTTGACGGGCAGAAAACCAAGTTTGAGATATTTTAAGGTGTGGGGCTGTCTTGCAAAAGTATTAGTCCCTGAACATAAAAGAAAGAAACTTGGGCCTAAAACTGTTGATGCTATTTTTATTGGTTATGTTGAACATTCTTATGCAATGAGATTTTTGGTTATTAAATCTGAAATTTCTGGCATAGATGTCAATACTATTGTAGAATTTTGTGATGCTACTTTCTTTGAAGATGTTTTTCCAATGAAAACGGGTGTGCCCCAAAATACTTCTTTTGAAAATCAAGAAACTACATTTACTTCAATTCCTGATCAAGTGGAAAAGATGACAAATGTGGGGGTAGAATCTGGTAGTTCTAGTCATATTGATTTTGAATCAAATGATCTAGATGAACCGAGAAGGAGCAAACGAGCTAGAATCACTAAGGATTTTGGAAGTGATTTTATCACTTACAATATTGAGGGTGATCCAATTTCCTTTAGAGATGCAATGGCCACGTCTGAGGCCATGTATTGGAAGGATGCCATTAAAAGTGAAATGGACTCCATTGTTCAAAATGGAACATGGGAGCTTGTTGATCTTCCTCCCGGGTGTACTACTATTGGATGTAAATGGATTTTTAAAAAGAAGCTAAAA